AAGGCATAATACTTAAGTAGCCACTTTTTATGATAGATACTTTTACTTAGGGGTCAGAACGAGGCTCATTAAGAAGCCGGCATCCTGACGTGACCTAAATATATTGAGGTGAGGCTGTATAATTGTCATTTTTAAAACCATACGTAATCAATAAGTTTGAATCGAAAACGCATTTCAGACTTCCGGGAGACATTTTATTAGATAGGGAATCTGCTGTATTTAAATAATCTAAAGTTTGTCAACAAAACAGCACGCCAGGATGACAATGTGCAATTATGCAAATATGGGAAAATAACTGAATTAAAAATCAACTAAGTAAAAAGACGTAAACTAGCGCATGTAAATTGAAGGTGAGCGCGGCGCAAACTACACTAATCTAACTCCGGAACGGTAAATTGAACCCCAGGTAAGTTGAGGTAGACGACGTCCTAACCACCAAGTTTTTTTCAAGAATATCAAGAAGCCCAATAAAGTATAAGTAAGTAAGAAATGTAAATAATTTCTTTATTTATGGTGCGCTATTTTGTTGCGAAAACAGTAGATTATTTAAACAATTTCGGGGACCCACGGACAACTGAAACAAATTAAACAAGAAAAAACACACGCGTAAATTTATCTTTTTGGTATACCCACCTCAGCAGCGATGCTAGGAGACATGCCCTGATGATAGGGTCGACGAGACAGCAGTTTGAGGACTGAATGCGCCAGAGGAGAAAGGAAATCGAGCTGATGTCCACCAGCGCCAAGGGTGGCAGACAGCCTCGTCTCAGGGCTGGCCTGTGCTAGCTCCGCAGCAGGGTAATCAAAGTCACCGAAAGAAAACTGCAGCTGGGAACAGCTGTTGGGATTGGAATAGCATGAAGACCAGGGGGTCGCCGGTGCGGAGGCATCCACGAGTTCAATCTTCTGGTCGGGTACTGAAGCCGTCCGATTATGCAGGGGCATATGCTCAGGAGCAGCAGAAACGTCTGGAAAAGTGGGAAAAAAGAACTGCTTAAATATGTAGACGGGCGACAGTTAGACCGTCGCTGTCGACTATGTCCACTGCGAACCTCGGCAAGCTGATGGCAATGGCGGTGACTAACGCAGGACCTAGCCTACCCCGGCACCTGCACCCGGTATCAGAACAAAGTCGAAGAGACCGGAGGACACGGAAATAGCGGTAATTAATGAGTCGAACGCGAAGGTTCAGGCTATCGCCGCACCAATTAAGACCCAAGTGGTGGCTACAGGAGTGGATATTTATAGTGCGCACTCGGATAAACGCTATGAACAATAAACAGCGTGCAAGGTATGCATGCTTCACCCCTATTTGCGCATGACTCAGACTATCCTACCATCCCCTATGATTAAGGATTCCCGACGGAATCCGAAACATCAGGAAAATAAATCTTTGGATTGTTTAAGTTCAGCGATGATACCCATTTAAGCATTCA